AGAGTCGCACCATCCATACTGTTTACTACTTATCAGCCATTTCAATCCACAGGGAGACTAAAGAGGAGAACATCCTCTATCCATTCTTTCGAGTCGTGAAATAAATGCCACCCTCAAGTGCGGAACAAAACTCTCCAGCCAAAAAGACACTTTGATCAACAGCTATCCGTTGCTCCGTACTGAGCATATATTTGGGAAAACAAAGCACAATCTCAGCTGCTAATCCCCTGAGATTCAGAGCACATTCCCGTGGAAGCCTTTGATCTGTGAAGTGCATCCGGACAGCTGACTCCAGACACACTGCACACTTACATGCACACGCTTGAACAGATATGCACATACATGAGCATTTCACTCTGGCTAATGACATGTTAATAATTTTATGTCTACTGAGACCTACAGTGACAGTTCCTTCACAAAGAATATGTTAAAGACTTCTACGTCTTAATAAATTCCGTTGTAGGTATAATATGATGAAATATATGGAAATTGATTCATTAAATTTAATAAAAAAGAAACACAAGTAACCCTGATCAAGTGTCTAAATGCTACTAGAGCTCAATCTTACACAAAACCTCAACATTCTTTGACATAAAGAAGACACCATTCACAACAGCTGAGAGTTATCCACTCTGCTTTGTCACACAGGAGAAACTCTTCCAGCTTTCAGGAATCTTTTTGACATATGATGCCTGATGTGACATTAAAGCCACGTCCACTTCCTTGAACCTCCCAGTCCCCCAGCTACGCTGATGTCAGCCCAAGACTTCCACAGCATCTTCTCATGGGAAAATAAGAAGAAAATCGCCAAGCCCCTCCATGGCCAGGTGGTACCCCTCCTCCCAAAGGCCAGGGCTTTTCTTCTCTTTAGAGTGTGGCTCCAAACTTTTCTCCCAGCCTCTTCAAAGAGCAACAACAGGCCCTTGGTCCCTTGGGAGCACAGAGGGGGTAGAGCCCAATGGGAGAGGGGCATACGTCACACAGCACGCACAAGAGGGCAGCGGTGGGAAAAGAAAACGCACAGGGAGAAAACAGAAAGAAGGAGAGAAAGAGGAAGAGGAGTCTGCATTTGAAAGGTGCTTTCAGCTTCTAGACAAGGGCCCTTGCTTTGTGAAAACGACAAGGAAAGAAAAAGCACAACAGCAGAAGCGAAAAACGAAAAATGAAGGGGGCGCAAAACCTGCCATGTCTTTTATCAGACTTGGAGACTGAGGGAATGCATTTAAAAGCTTTAGGCCTATTTCCAAAAAAACGTTTCTACTTTCAAAAAAACAAAACAAAAACAAATCAAAGACCTAGCAACCAACTGTGAGACAGGAGGAGTTGGGGCCAGAAGTTCCACTGTGATTCACTTCTGAGTTGCATTTGTCGACTGATGTACCTTTGCTTTTTTTCTGCGCGCCTCACAAACTGATGGAAGTTCAGCTGAAGAAAAAAACTAATCCAGGCTTTGGAGAGTGGTAGCTTGGCAAGACTGGACATGGAGGGGTTTTTTTCTATACAGAGGGTAGGGCTTTAGGGTGGAGTGGCCATCAGTGTCACTAAAAACACCCCCCAGCGTGGCCCACTTCAAATGCAGCCTCGTTTCATCAGCCGCAACTGACACAAGGCCACAGGGTGAGCGCAACAAACAGATGGAGGATAGGAAGGGAGAAAGGAGGAGAAGGGAGAAGCAAAAGAGGGGGAAGGGGATTTCAGAATTGAAAGGGAAAACTTATGAAGAAGGCAAGTGACAAGTGGCACTCAGTTCCAAATGAGGTAAGCTCAGAAAGTAGTCACCAGAAACTTGAACTTCCAAGTCCAAAAGTCGTGAAAATCTTCAATCCCTATCAATGTCTCTGTCAGCAAAGAATTTTACAGGCTGCACATAACATATCAGATTTATTGGTACGTGCAGACACCATGCTGTGCACTCGGGCTAAAGTGTGCCAAGGCTCACATGACCTGGATCTCGTGTGTTGAGGACCAACGGGTCCACCTGCCCACACCACTCACTCACTGTCTGCCAAGCTCCCGCAACCTTACATCTGACAACACAAATCATGAATGGGTGTAGAGCCTGCGTGGAATCATCATTAAGTCTTCAAGTGCTTTCAAGTACAAGCCTTAGTGTGTCCGTGTGTGCTCGAACACAATTTCAATCTAAAACCATTAAATGAAGAAAAACTGCCAATGTGAGGCACTCTACTGAACAATGACCACTTTAAAATCTGCAGTGTTCTGATGGGGAATATGGTTTGAAAAAAAAAAATGGTTCAAAAGAATTCCAAGCGTGGACTCCCCACTGTTGACACCCGACCCACATTCTGCCGGACCCTGTTTCAGCATGGAGAGGGGGCTTAAAGAATAATGGGTATAAATAACTATCTCACCAGGTATTCTACGCAATATGGACAACTTTTAAAGCAAAGAGAGTAGACTTGTATTTTCGCACAAAAGATTAGCTCCCATTTTTGTTTTATTGTATTTTAAGCTTAAAGCACCGCAGGGCCAGCCTCTTAAACTTCTTCTCACACATCATTAAGTCTTTCAATTTAGTTAAAATGATATGGTAAGCATTTTCTTTAATAGAGGCAAACCTACTTCATTTTAACAACGACTCATGATCACTAAGATAATGCATTATTTATGGAGTCAATGAAACAGGTTTGGAATGACCTCCACTCATGGAATTATTCCGTAAATCCACTGGAAAGGTTGAGACTTGGTATGGTTTGTGTAACTCTTCTTAACAATACTGGGAAGAAAAGCAACACACGGTGCTTATGCCACACAACCCAAACATAAAACGTATGACTATGCAGTTATATAAGACTGTAGGGAAATTACGGAAAGCTATTTCACATCACGACACAGCTTGTAAACCACGTTGCTTCTGATTAATGATTAGGTTAATGTGAATGTTTATTCAAAGGCGACATTCGACCGCTCCCTTATTCACAAGGGGTTTCCGCATGCGGGTAGCTTGGCATACTTTTACGCCAAATGCCCTTCCTGACGCAACTCCCGCGGGATTTGTGTTTCTTCCCGGGATCAAACTGAGTATCTTTTGCTTATTAGGCAAATGTGTAGCTCAGTACACTACAGAGCATGAGGGATTGCAAAGTCTTGTCTTTATAAAAATGTAAACTATGCTTCATGCCCTGGGACAGAATGGGGAAAAAAACATAAATGCTTTAAACTTTAATAATCATTACAGATTTAGAATCCACTTTATAATCACAAAACAAAAGAGAAAAGTGCTCAAATAAATATTGATGTGGAAACAACTTTTCTTCTTTTATTCATTTTCCTTCTAAGTTATAAAATAAGCTATTAGACACCGAGACTTGAATTATTTATACAAGCTGAACTCTAAATTGTTCAAAAACATCCAACCCTTTTGGCGGGGGCCTCATCCATCCTGAGCCAAAACTTCACACATGACTGTTGCTGGGAAAAGCAGCATGTGAATATGTCGAGGAAAAAAGTAACGAATGTTTGTTTTTGCAGTAACAATTTATGGTAATTGCATGATAATAATGTGGTTTTAAATGCTTAAATTGCCCGAAGCATATGAACCCCGCTGAACATATAAACAGCTAAATAAATGGAATGGATTTTTGCTGCAGCAGCAGCTACATGCTCTGAAAAAGAAACATGGGATTCAGATTGTTTTTCCTCCATAAAACCCCTCTTCAAAATACATCCCAGTGCCTGCTGTGAGTGTGATCCTGATACCATATGATGAAGTTTGCTGCAGCTCTGGGCACATGTCAGGATGAACAATTTTTCATGTAGATGCCAAGCTCCCTACACTTTATTCTACAGCTCCGCTTACCAAATCTACCAAAGAACTCTTGCACCAGCAGACAAAACAACAGCGGATTTTATCTTTGGCTTTGGTGGGAATCAGCAGACCTTTTTGTTGCCTTACACTTTCTCGGGTTGTATGCCAATGACTTCTCATACTAGTGGTTCATTAAGGAATTATAATCTGCATGTGTATTTCTGTCTCACTTGTGTTATTTACAGTTCAAAAGCATGGGCATAACATGGTTTCAGCTTGCTGCATGAAAATGATGCCACGGAGCTGCATGTCGCTGATGATAGGATTCTAGTCTTTAAGAACACTGAACACTAAAGGATCTGTCGAGTATTTTAAAAAGGAAAATCATGCCATGCAATAACACAACAGAATATTACAGTAGGTGTGATATATCCTGGATTGTGGGATGCATTTAATAAATTGATGTATTTCTTCTCAAACTGTCTGGATTGTGAGTGGAGGGACTGATTTTCCTTTTCTTTTTTTTTTTTTTTTTTTGGGGGGGGGGTTGTTGTTGTTTTTTTAATTCTTGATGGGCTCCAATTCCTCAAACATGCTGCCTTTGAGGAAGGCATGGCAAACCAAAGAGGCTTAACGCTCCTCTGAAGCAATTCCAAAGGATTTCCCCGCTTGACAACAACAGCACCGTGTTTACGGCAATGCCAAAATACAAAACAAGCATGACCTCCAACATTTCTCTCTCCAGCCCTTACGATCCACACTTGTCACCGGACTGTCACACTGAGCTGCTTTCAAGGCTTGATCTATTGTTACCTGAAAAATAATCCCTCAATCAAGTGCATACGGCTGCGCATTTGTGAGCTCAACGGTCTTATTTTGCTCACAGGGAAAGCAAAAGTAAGATTGCGATTGGTTTACTTTAATTACCTTTTATCCCGTCATGAGCGACATTTAACTCACCGTGAACAGCCACTGTTAAAAGTTTATCCACCAAAGAGTCAAAAAAGACTGACAACACTTGAGGTTAAATGTAGCTTCGCGTGCTATCGTAGAAGTGGCATTAAAAAAATATGAAATAAAATGTTTGTTTTTTTAAAAACTGCTTAAGGTGTGAAACATGTACGAGGACACACGCAATACTTGAGTTACAAGACAAACTTTACAAATAAAAGAAGTCGTGGAGCAAAACTTCATTGTGAATATCCGAGTGTAGGTATACAGTCACACTCACCCGTGCAGTTAACCCGCAGTTATTCTTGTGGTGACAGTCCTGTTGCTCGAGGCGCGAGCTCGTGCAGTAGTATTTCTGCTTCACGAGCCAGTCATCGATTCCCTTCCTCGCCAAACAGGCATTCACTACAAAACTGTCGCCTGAAACACAAAAGCAGCAGCATTAGCAGTGAGTACAAACCGTTTTCTTCCTCTCTCTCTAGTGTGTTCACACTACAAGCGCGTTAACCTTCAAAGACTCTCGGAGTCTTCGTGCTGCAATAAACTGAGGCTGATACGGACTCTGGAAACTGCTCCGCTGTTCACAAACTGACCGAAATGCTCAGAAAATGTTTGAGTGCATCATGTAGGGGAATAAGTGCGCTTACCTTCTGGACTCTCCCGCGGTTTACAAATAGCAGCTTTTGAGAAGGAGATAGAAAAAGAAAAAGAAAGACAAGAGACAATGAATGTGTTACTCGAAAGTATCGCAACACCCAGCAACTACAGCTGTGATTTTTCTCTCGGGAATAAGACGTCTTACCATGTTTCGAGTGCAGTTTACCCATTTCTATGCATCGAGTTGGAGTTGAAAACCATCAGATGAATATAATCCAAAGAAGGAATAACAAAAAAATAGAGACGCGCTATCCAGACAGAGGAGCGTCCGTGGAGACCGAGAGCAGACTGCGCTCAGAACAGGACCATAAAACCAAGGAGCCAAACGAGCCTTTGATCCAGAGCGCCGCCACTGACGACACGCGCGATAAACAATAGGCTGTGCGACTTCCTTACACCGATTTCAGATTAAAGCACAAGCGACTGGCGATAGCTCAAGTAAAAATGGACCGAGAGAAGGGCATGTCATTCTGACTTTGAAAATAGCAAATATTTACAATGCGGCACACTCTTAGAGTCCAGAAACCAAACCTAATCTGGTTACAGGTGCACCACGGGTTAAAAAAAACACACACACACACACATACAACAGAACCCCTCAGTGACCCATGTTCGTGCTTTACAATGCTTTTATTATGAAAATTACATCTCAGGTTTTCCGGAGCGTCGTGACATTTTCTGTCTGCCTTTACGCTCCCGTTCGGCTCTGGCTTTCAAGCGCGCGCGAGGTGACGCCAAAACATTCATTTCTCTGTTTCATTTTTGCCAGTTGGGGTCTGGTGGCATCCTAAATGATCCCAAACCAGCGACCTCAGCTGTTATTTCAAATCCAAGCGTGTATGAAACCTCTGTTTGTTGTGGGTTTTTTGTTTGTTTGCTTGCTTGCTTTTATATTAAAATGAAATACAAATAAGCAAAACATAAAATAGATTCACTGGCAAGCTGTGAAACATTTCCCTCGGCTTGGGGTTTGGGTTGCTTACTCGGGCAGAATTATTTCTCTGCGTCTCACATCGCAAAGTATGTAAAATCTTTTCTTTTTTTTCATTATTTTGATTGAATTACCTTTGACGAAGCGTGCAATCATTAAATACAAATTCTCTTTGTATTCTCTTTTGACCTCTGACTACTTTTTCACTTTTTATCAACATTATCCTCTCAGATGGGCTTCCCAGGGGTAAAAGTCATTTCATACGGGGCTCCGTGGTCAGTGCCCGCCTGTCTTTTTGGGGTCTCTAATATGAAAATAAGGGTCTTAGTGGACTGAGGCAACAGATGAAAGCGGGCTAAGATTCTTTTGATGTCTTCAGATATAAGACAGAAGCCACTGTGCCATTTCATGCCAGGCTGCCAGTAGCTCAGTGTGAACGTAATATAACGCACAGTGGGCATCATCTTTTGAGAAAACACTGCAAAGTCGATACTCTAATCATCACCAGTGAAAGACTCAGCTTGAACAGGAATTGAATATTAGATTTATTTATTTATTTATTGGCACCAATTTTAGCAGCATTACAATTAGTGCTCAATCACAGTGTTCTTTTGGTCTGAAACACATCAAATCCAACCTGATCCATTATGTGAAGTGGAATTTTTTTTTTAGAGTGTTTGGTTCAAGAAATAGATAAAAGAAATCTTTTCCTATCACTTGTACAACATTTTCTTCCTCAGATTCTTGTATGATTTAATCTCAAAGAACTCACACTGTACAAAAAACTAATTAAAGTATTAAGTTCTCAATTCAGTCAAACCATTATGTCCTTTTTGATTTGAATTAATCCGATCAGTCATGTGTCCTTTATTTGGTGTAGCTAGGTTTTATGAACAAATGTTTCACCTGACACTTCACATCACATTTAAACACATATTATAAATAACAGGAGGATTTGAATCATAAAAGTTTTCTGAGGACTGTCACCTGAACGCAGGTCGTGAGAATTGCATAAAAGGTAATGTTTCATGTGCGTTTTCAATCAAACAGCAAAATGCTGGCATGGTTTTCCTAGAGCTGGATGTCTAAATTTAGTCTTCTTTTGTCGTTTCTGTGTCATGGAAATTTTTTCCTCTCCCTTTAAATCTTAAAACAGAAGTCTTTGTTCAATTTTAGGACATAATTTTAATATTTGATGTCCTTGGATGCAAATCCATGTTCTTACAGTGCTGCTAATCACTCCTATACTATCACTGGGTCCTGCTGTCAAGAAGTCAACACTGTGTTTTTATGTTTACATATTGCCTTTACCCGTGTGCCTCCAGCATACAGGCTGCCAGTATGTGAAGCACATATGCTGGCAGCCTACAAACTGTTGTTTATTTGTTTAAATTAGAAGGCAAGCTGATTTTCATTTTTGTGCATATTTTATGTGATCTGTATCCCACTGTATTCACCTGAGGACTATTCCCATTTAAAAAGCACAGTTGTTGATAGCGTTACATTTTTGAGAAAGGGCCTCAAAAAACTTGCTTGTAAAATGCAAAATGTAATGAAGCTTTCAAATGCTCAGCATTGCCGATTTACAGTTTTAGAAAGCCACCTGCGATTCCATCTGTCACAAATTTCACAAAAGTTTTGATACTTTTGTGGCAATCTCCACTCCCACCCAAACATACAGACGTGACCAGACTAGATGTTTTGTATGGTTTAAATATTCCGGAGACAAATATCAACCACATATTCTACATTCACAGGTTTAACTTTCACTGAAGTCTAACCAGCATGGGAGTTTAAGAAGTTATAACTTGTGTAGTTAAGCAGGTAATAACCACCTCTGCCTGGAGGAGAGTTGTTAATATCAAAACTCTAATCCTGCCTCAGACCCGATTTTTAAGGAAAGACACATCTTTCAGGATGTGGCTGTACAGTAGACACATGTCCTTAGGCTGGTCCACATGCACAATGTTTTCCGCATCATGACTCCATCGTCACGTGTTGTACTAAGAGGAATCAGACTCCCCTTTGAACTAGTCTGCCACAGACACAGATGAACGTGTTATTATAGCAACTCGTCTGAATTCGGTGGAAAAGAAGGCCTGTCCCTCTGACACACTTCCTGTCCTTTGAAGAGGCCAACGGAGAGATGGCTTTGCAGGCCCTATTTCCTAGCTTTCCCTTTGATGCCTGTGAGAGAGGAGGAGGTGGAGGGGGGGGGGGGGTTTAGAGCCATCTCCCGAACGTGAACCCCCAAACCTCCAATCAATCCCCATTATCAGGGGTACAGTTTATTTTTTGCCTGACACACAATCAAATCAGAGAATAAATGGAGTAAATATTTCGCTTCTATTGAGGCATTTGTCAAATGGAGTTGAAATCAGTCCCTTGATTATTGTTCTGTTTTTCCATTACGGCAAAAAAATGCTTCATAAGAACAAAGCTAAATTCTCTAGACACCTGTCTGATTGATGTAAGTATTTATATGCCTAGGGGAGCACCTACCTTGGTGGTCAGCTCTGGCTCATTCCATCATAAAACTGGGCATTCTCCAAGGAAACAAGCATAATGGGGGGTATTGAGGCAGCTAAATTCAGGGGCATCTAATGGTTTGTCTGTGTTTATGTCCTTGTAACAATGTTAGGGGCCTGATGCCTGGAGAGAGCGCTGGAGGGAATGCTGCCTGGTGGTGAAGAGGGGGATGTGAAGCATATAGAGGGAGAGAAGAGCAGCTGCTGGCCGCTTAAAGCTCAAACATGTGACTGTTGCCTTTATCTTGAGGAACAAAAGGGCGTGGATGTTGTAAAGGGCAGAAGACAATCGAGACTGAAGTACAGTGTTGATTCCTGCAGTGGTGGTGACTCAGCCCATTGTAGTGGCTCAGCATGCGATGTGTCAGGCAAAGGGTCTGCAGGGGGGGAACGACAGCCTGGCATGTGTTCGCCTTTCTGCATGGTGGAAGTAATGGAAATAACCTGGATTCTGAATATTTCTAGACTCTTTGGTGTCAGTTGGTCTTTGAGGCAAGTAGAGTAAAAGTGTGTTAAATCACATGAAGCTACACACTGCAACACTGTGCAACAAGTTTCTTTAAGAGCTTGGAAATAAGCACTGAAAAGAAAATTAAAAGATAACAAATTCCCTGCATTTGAAATTATGAAGACCCCCCCAAAAAACACATTTACTATTAAAACCACGGGTTGTGTACATGTTAATGGGAACATTTGTAGTTTATATATAGATTATCCAAAATATTGGAAGACTTAAAGCAACACTCCTAGTCTTGGTTTGGTCCTAACTAGTTTTGTTACAGCAGCATAAAATGTACAAAACGCAAAAAATAAGTATTGGGTAGTGAAACAATAAATTTGAAAAAGTGCATGTTGCAGACAGCACGTTCTAATACTAAGACTGCTGATCCTGTACTTAACATTATTGGTTTGTAGTGTAAAGTAGGGGAATCCTTATCATCCCGCTTAAAAATTCCTTTTTATCTTAACAGCAGCACATAAAACACCTCTAACGGGGCCTGAAGCTCGCTGACATTTCTTTTTAGTAAAATGTGTCTACATAAAGCGAGCAATGAAGAGAGCAAGTGGCGTGCAAAGCAACACACAGAAGCAGACCTTTTTTTTAGGAGCACCGCTGAATGACTACTAATTCTTCTGATGTCAAAAAGTCTCCAAATTTAGGCCAATATAATCAATACTTTCTGCTTCTGTACTTCTCTTTACTATCTGTACTAGACACTGGCTGCTTTTTTGAAGCGGTGGGGGTGTAGCCCCATCCAGAACGAGGACACAATTAGTGTATTCAGCCGAAAACAGTGGGGTTCCCCCTTTGATGTGGGGATCAAATGAAGGAGCTGTGTGTTTTTGTCCAAAATGACAGGCTTGCCAGGTTTACTAATGGGTAGCTAATAGAAAGAGAGGTTTATGATGCTCATTAATTACACAGTCTGTCATGTGTTGGAAAGCTAGAATAGAGGAGACGGGGAAAAGAGAAAGAGAGTCGGGTGCAACAGAGGAAGCAAAAGGAAGAGAGTGGGGGTAGTAGTCGTGGAAAACAGGCTGGGTGTACCCTGAAAGGGAGGAAAATATAAATGAATGGAGTGAAAGAGCAAGGGTACGGAGAAGATCTCCTAAAAGATCCATACAAAACCTGTCTTGATGGAAAGCAAGGAGAAGATGAAGAAGAAGAAAAAGAAAGGAACAGGAGGAGATAAAATAATCCGTTCCTAAAGATAAGAGCAGCCACCAAGACAGGAGCTTCAAAGAGCAGGAGACACTCTCATGGGAGCGTGCCATAAACCTTTTCCTCATCTTCAGAGGAAAATTCAGTCCCTGATCCAAACACGCCCAAGCTCTCAGCACCCACCACTCTGCAGGTGTCCAAGGCCCGGCGACTCCTGGGGTGGCGCGCACACTTCCAA